ACTGTGGGTCCCCTGAGGATGCTGTGGGCCCCTGAGGAAACTGTGGGTCCCCTGAGGATGCTGTGGGCCCCCCGAGGACACTGTAGGTCCCCTGAGAATGCTGTGGGCCCCCCGAGGACACTGTGGGTCCCCTGAGGATGCTATGGGCCCCCTGAGGAAACTGTGGGTCCCCTGAGGATGCTGTGGGCCCCCCGAGGACACTGTGGGTCCCCTGAGGATGCTGTGGGTCCCCAGGACACTGCTGCATCTACAGCGGCCAGTGATGGCTAGAAGGTAGCCGCAGCGGGCTGTCCTTACTTTTCCACAGCAGATCTCTTTTGGGACTTGGACTGATAGTTCAGGGCCATCTTGGTCTCCATGCCCGTGTAGATAGCCACACCTGGAAGCAGAAGATTCCGTGAGATGCCCATACTCTGCAAGAAAGGATGCTCACACAAACAGGTCATATCTCCAAGTTAACCAGCAAACGATCTTCCTGAGGAAGCTAGATTCCTCACACTCAGGACTTCTCTGCGTAGATCTGATCTGCACTTTACACTCTTCAGTTCATTGCTAATATACTGGGTGATCTGGCAGCGGGCAAGTGTATATTTTAAAAGTTATTTAAAACAGGAAACAGCACATGTCAATGGGAGGTACTAATCCCGAAAAGCAGACTTAGAGAACTCTCCTGCATACAATGCTTTGGAAATATCTCCTGGATATAGCTTCAAGGTCCCAGTCGTGAGTTGAGATCCTCAATAAGCAAGCCAGGACCTTCACTGCCATGGCTGTGGGTTCAGGTTACACCACAGCACTCATCTCTTAGGGAGTCGCCCTGCACCAAGTCTGAGGGACTTTAAAGCATCTGGTGGCCTCTCAGGGTGCTGTGGAGTTTGGTTTGCTTAGTGTGTGCCTAGATTTTAGAAATGATTACCAGTGCTTTGCAAATTAAAATATTTACCAAAGATCTTCTCTGTATTTTTGAGTGTGGCTCCTCTGAGCAGCAGGTTTTCTGATCCCAATGGCCTGGAAGATAAGGAGACCAGAAGTGGCGTGATGCAATGGTGGGATTTGAGATTAGAAATCGATTCAATCGCCCGGAAAGGAAGTGATAAAGTGGGCATTTGCTCATACTGAGATCACCAAAGTCCATCTGCATAAGCACTGGGCTTCTCTGAGGCGGAGACATCGCCTGCTGGACTGTATCTAGTCCTGTTTTCCTGGCCTGTCACTCACGGGGACCTGGAGCTCCATGGTGGCATTTGAGAGGCCTCAAGGGAGCAGAACACCCACCCTCAAATAACCTGGAGCCTGAAAGTTTCAATGACATTTCCCCAGAAGCCACAGACTCTTCAGGAAGAGTCACTATCTGCACCACCTGGAACACCCAGGGACATCAAAAATGTCACCTAGACCTGCTACAAAAGAGGTCTCAAGGGAGGGCCAGCAACCCTCTCCCAACACACCTCCAATGTGAGGGGCTGTGCTAGGGGACCTCAAAATGTTCTGAGAAGGCTTGAACTTTGGGTTTCCCCATCCTTCAACTCTTTCCCTCCCGTCCTTAGGACCTGGAGACTCCTCTTTAGTGTGAAGGGAGGCTGGGCCTCTGGGCCTCCGGAGCAGAAGTTCAGCATGCAAGGATTACCCACAGGCAGCAGCTGCATGCCGTTCTTCTAAGCAGTGAAGGAAATTCAAAGCAGCGGAACTAAATCCTATAGCTGCATCCCAGGGACCACGGTGTGTCACAGGAGCACACACCAGTGACCAGTGTGTCACAGGAGCACACGCCAGTGACCAGTGTGTCACAGGAGCACACGCCAGTGACCAGTGTGTCACAGGAGCATACGCCAGTGACCAGTGTGTCACAGGTGCACACGCCAGTGACCAGTGTGTCACAGAGGAGCATGTGTGCCTTGACCTTACTTGCTTACTCGTCCGTCCTTTGCACAGATGTGAGTGCACAGGACATCACACCCTCAGTGGGCCAGTGTGCTTGGCCAACACGGTTCAGATGTGCCTGCAAGAGGCCAGGGAAGAAGCTGCTCGGGCGACTCACTGAGGCGGTCAGCAGACACCTGGAGGCTCCTTCGGTCTGTCGGCCACTGACAACAGTCCCCGGCTGTCCCCGGCTGTCCCCGGCTGTCATTGTCTATTAGCAACTTGCTTACAATAATTCATGTCACAAATGTGAATGAAAACGAACGGCCTCACCTTAAACGGGCCTTGGAGAGCTCTAAAGATAATGTACTTGACAAAATACTCTGCTGCTAGTGTGGACAGACTGAGGAAGAAATATAACTGAGTGAACTGGGAATTTGGATGGGGGACTGATAGAAGCAAACATTTTCCTCCTGTTTGTATTACTTCTAATATTTACAAATATCTTAAGAATCCAAATGACAAAAAACAGTCCTGGTGTGAAAGGCTGAGCTACAGCTATTATCAAAATACAAAGTGCATTAGCACCATGGTCCCCAGCTTGGGGCCACAGCTCCCCCTCGGTGTGAAGCTCGGGGTCCATAGTACATGCTCCCTCAGCTTCACCGATGGGCATGAGAACAACCTCATTTGTCCTTTCATCCTAAACAAATCAGCTGTCCACACTGTCTAGTCTTCAAAGCAATAAGGAACTCTTCTTTGAAAACAAAAGTAACGCCTCCAGCCCTCCTCCAAGTTAGTGCCCTACTAACCTGCTGATAGACGGTGACCACAAACCAGGGTAAGAGCTGGAATGGTGGCACCAGACCATGAGGCAGCACTCAGGAGGATAGGCTGGAAGGTCAGCTGTTCAAGGCCTTTCTAGCTAACAGCAAGATAAGGTCTCAAAAATAAGTAACACAAACAAAAAATAACCACTAAAAACACATGAGAAGAAGTTCCCAGGCTGTTCCCTTAAAGCAGCTGCTGAGTCCCATGAGAGCCAGGCCAGATCTGGACACTCCAGTGACTGTTTACTCTGTGGTATCCCCCAAACTCTACCTCTACTTCCCAGCAAATGTTTCCTTCAGCATACAGTGATACTAGGATATCAATAATTGGGAAATTCCTTAAACTGCCAAAAAAAAAAAAAATCAACCTCAAAACCTACTGAAAGCCAATGTCCTAAGCAATAAATCCAAACACTTCCTCACCAACCACACCAGATATAACAGTCTGGGGCAGACGGCTGTAATGGAACATCTGAAGTGGATGGCGGCATGTGGTGCTCAGATGGGGACCTGGGAGGTGGCACCCAGGGCTAATACCAGGCTGGCTCTTGGGCTCAGACCGCCCCTGCAGGCTGCTCTCTCTCAGCAGATATTGTGACTGTGGGCACTGAGGCAGCGAAGGTGGATCGGGGCGCACACAGCACCTCCTCACTAGCAGCAGGCCCTCTCTTCCTAGTTAGGCCTGAGAGAAACCCCAAGCATCCCCCCCCCCCCTCTGTGATGGCCACGGGCAGGCTGCTCTACTCTCGGGTCTCTGTACTGGAAACCTCTGATGTCACAGCACATGAAGGTGCCTTTCACAGTGGGTTTGGGCCCTGCCCTCATTAAGAACCATCCTGTAGGTTTCTGGCCTTGCCTAGCTGGAGAGGCTACCCATCGGGAGTGTCAAGGGCAAGGGTTCCAGGATCTTCATCGCATCAACATGCACAGACAAACCCTAGAGTCAACGTGGGAGAGTGGAACTTGCTTAGGAGGCATGGCCCTGCCTTCTAAACCAAGTGACAGGGTAGAACCCATCAAAACATGAACATCTAACATAACAATGAAGATGATAAAGGCCTGGATTCCCAAGAAGACTCACCTCACCACAGGATCGTTCAGGTCGTTGTAAACATTGATGCGTCCCACAAACCTGGCAACAGAAAAGCTCACGTCGTTACTCTCGGTAGCAGTGACGGGACCTCCCGTCTCCACCACAGCTAGCTCATCCTACTCTTCAGCATGACCGGCGGCGGCCCGGCCACTCGACTTTTCCTCCTTCCTCATCCTACTTCCTGTGCGTCTTCACCCACGGCTTAGATGACCCCTCTTAACTCAAACCACTCAAAGGAAGGACCACTTAGGCTTCCTTCTGGGGAGCTGCGGGTCTGCATGGTGCTTGTCTAGGCAACAGAAGGCGACCTTTCCGGCACTGCACCCAGGCTCTTCCGGTCAGCACGCTCGGCTTACTTGTAGAGGTCGGGCTGTGGCTGTTCACACTCGATGGTGGCGTGCAACCCGTCCACATCTTCCTCCGTGTGGAAGCCCTTGGTGTCCTGCACTGCGTAGTGAGTCTGCAGACGGAGAGGAGGGTGAGCTGCACCCCAGACCTCACTCGCCTGGCTTCTGATCCCCAGAATCTGGTCTCCATGCACATCCGTGAGCCCCACTGTGAGTCTGGGTGCAAAGGCCGAGTCTCAGCTATTGTCCCACTCGGGGGGGGGGGGGGGTGACAAGAGCTCCGACTCCTCCTGCTCACCCAGCAGGACACAGGGCAAACCTGGGACCCTTTACACTGATACTTATGTACCTGCCCCGGGAGAGCTATCAACTGCTGACGTGACCCTCCTCTTCCAGGCAAAGCTCTATTGTTCCTAGGAGGTGCCAAAAGCACCAACTGGTTTCATTTTCCAAATTCCGCTACCAATTGTCCTCCCATCACTGCTTCTAGGCAGTGGCTCAGCTATTTATTTGGACCAGAGGACCCTCAATCTGAACTGAGTGTGCATCAAAATCCCCAGGAGGCCGCTAGGCCACTGCTGTTAGGCCACCCTCCCGAACTCAACGTAGTGGGTCTGAGCAGGAGGCCTAGGAACTGCATTTCTAAGAAGATACCAGCTGACACTGTGCTGCTGTCCAGGGCCACACGGCCTAGCTAGCATCTATGGGACCATGGACAGGTAAACATTCTTCCTCCTTTCTCCTGGGAGGAGAATAAAGGAGGGGAGAGGAAGGGAGGGAAAGGAAGAAGGAAGGGAAGAGGAGAGGAAAGATGTGTCGGGGCTGTCAGGAGGAAGGAATCCCTGCATCTCTGCTTATATTTCTAATAAATGCTGGAGTGAGTGCTATGACTTGGAGCAAGTGGACAGTTGATTACACATCACCATTTAGGTCAGTCAAGCACTTGCTATGTGTTGAGAATTTGGGGAAGATTTCTAATCATTAGTGTGGCTACCTTTCACAGATGTAAAATGTCCAGAAAGGGCAAAAAGCCAGGCTGAGGTTATGTGAGCTGTGTAAGACTCTCTGAGGTTGGTAGAAGCCTTCCCACAATCTGTTCTTTCAAGGACAGAGTTCCTATAACTGCAGCCACCAGAGCCAAACCAAACCTCCAGAATGCCACCGGAACACAATGACATGTACTGTGCAAACACACAAGGGCCCGGCATGAAGCAGGGACTCCAGCATTTCCCAGACTGACATCAGGTCCTGCAGCGCACTGCCCAGAGCAGAGCTAAGACCTCAGGTCTGTCCAGATACTGGGCCACTCTGTCTGAGCAATCACAGTCTCCATGGAATAGAGTCCTGCCCTCAAATGGGGTCCACTGAGCAGGCTTTATCCAATAAAGTGGGTCGCTTACAAGGTCTTAGAATGGTTAGACCATGAGCCCTGTCCAGGTACACTAACTCAAGCCACCCAGAAGCCCCTCTCCCAAAGGACTGATGCTTATTAGTACTTAAAGAAGGATGCTCTACCTAGAAAATATGAAACCACTCACAGGCCTTTACACAAAAGTGCTAAAGATTACCCCTAAAGATTGGGCCATCCTTCGCTAACCACATGAGAAAGCGTCTCGTCTCACAGCACGGGCTGCCCTCACCTGCAGCAATCATTTACACAGTTTGGGAGTCTGAGAGGCTGATGCCTCTCTACTGTTCTGGGAGCTGCCAGAGGATCGGTTGGTTTCATTATGTTAGAGTTCATAATCTCCTACAAGTTCCTTCTTCCAGATTTTTATGGTGAAAACCAGACCTGTAACTGAACAGTACTATATTTTCCTCTCTCATGATTATCAAAGTTTTACATCCAGTGTAGAATTCCATATGGAGTTCAACCGATTAATTACAGTTCCAGAAGATTTCTTGAGATAGTTTAACAAGACACAGGTGAAATCTGTAAAGTTCTGCATGACTTTCACACGGTTGTAGACTAGGAAAGACATGAATTTCTATGAGAAAGTGGAAACATTACTGTCCTACCAATCTAGTTAGGTCTCTGACGGGGTAAGGGCAGGCACATCTGTCCACCTCAGATGGCGGTTGTCACCAACATTAAGGGAGGAAAGAAATTAACTGAAAACAGCAAGGAGCAAAAGTAAGGTTAAAGGTCAGAGGGTGTGACCTCCCCAGAGAGCTGAGACCATAGACATGCTTAGTCTGCACTCAGGATGTCAGATCTATTGCCAGAGCCCAGTCTGGTGAAGACCCCGAGCTGCACCCCAAATCCAGGCACGTTACTTTATGGCTCGACTCTCCATCTAAGCTGGCGGTGGTGACATGGCAGGTCCCATCTGCCCGGTTGCTGGAGAGAAAGATCAGGTCACAGGGAAAGGTCTCATCTTCCTTTACCATGACAATGTCCCCAACCTGCAAGACACAGAGAGAACGGTCACTGAGAGGCCACCTTTGTGTGACAGCTCACTCTGGGCTGGAATTCACTCTCCTGTTGTATCTAGAGTGTGCTAAGACACCACCATGGTGTCTTACAGGATGCTAACATGATCCTAGGAAAGACCCACGCTGAGGCTTTCTGTTGGAACAAGGCTTCTCTGGGTTCCGTGGGCCACTAAGGACCAGAGCAGCTCCAGGGCCCTTCAGGAAAGACTGTCATAATATAAAAACACGGAAAAATCTCTCTAACAGAAGGGAAGGCTCTCTTGGAAGCAGTGACACATGAAAGGGCATTTATACATCAAACATGTTTAAAATAAACATGTACACAGCCATGTATCAACAGATGAATACGTGGGATGGGACTAGCAAATACACATGTGTGTCTGCAATCCTGGGGAGCTGCTTGTATGTGGCTAGGTGTTGTGGCCACATCCTGAGACACCCTCTGACCTCAAGCTCAACAGCTGGTTGGTGTCAGGCTGGGATGAATAAGGTTCATCCTATACCAGAGCTGGCTGAACTCCCTGGCTGGCGCAGGCTGCTATCAGGGATGTGGTCAGGACAGATAGTAGAGCTGCCTAAGAGGGAGGGAGGGAGGGAGGTAGAGTGGGGGGCAGGCTTGGGCATGGGAAGGGTCCCAGGAGGCAGGAAGAGAATGAGTCCAAATTTATAGTCAGGTGATGACTAAAGTCGGAGCTGGGCTGTGACCCAGAGACAAGCTGGAAAAGCCACTGTCTGTCTGCACTTGCACACGTGCGCGCGCGCGCGCGCGTGCGCACACACACACACACACACACACACACACACACACACACACACACACACGAGTGCGAGCGCGCGCACGCGCGCGCGCTCTCAAGTGGCCAGCACAGGCAGAGAGGCAAGCTGCTCCAGCAGTTCTCGCCATTCAAATGTCCATCGAAATGAGAGGTCAGCGTGGCCCCCAACAACAGGTCCGTTAGTGACCAAACCCGCTTTGAAAAGTTACTTTAAGATGATTCTGCAAAGCACATTGGTGACAGGCAGATGCAGGTGTGCCACTTACCCTCAGCTTCCGACTCTGCTTCCGGACCAGCTTGCCATGCTGGATGAAGTGCACGGGACACTGGTTCATGGCATTGTCTGCCTTGTGGCGGAGCCAGTCTTCATAACCCTGAAACCAGAGAGCCAGGGAGGGAAGATGTGTTTAAAGTAGTATGGCTAAGCATGGTCTAGCCTGGGGTTTTCTCACACCTCCCTGGTCCTTACAGCTGGTCACTTCCACAACGGCTTAGGCTGCTTTATGTTCGTGCAGTTATAACTGATAAAATCTTCATAACTACACTTCCATACAAACCCAGGACCTATCCTCCGGAAAGATTCCTCCACAGGAAGCCCCTCAGTCAGAAGATGAGCCTGGCTTCAGGATTCTACAATGACTTAAGGTCTCCACAGTCTCAGCAGCCCCCGGGCACTGACGCGTGTGTCTGCCAAACACTCATCTCACCCGTTCTGCAGACTTTCAAATGTGACCTAAGGGGTCTGCAACAGAGGTGAACTGTTTTCAGACCTGCATTTCCAGATGACGACCAGGGGAGCAATAAGAGATGAGCCAACGGCAAGTACCTGTACGTCTTTTCTTAAATTACTGTTTTCGATAATAAGATCTCTCTCCTGGTTGGGCTTTTTGTTTGTTTGTTTTTCTTTTTTTGGTCAATTTAACACATGCTAGAGTCACTGAGAAAACTTGTCCATAAGACTGGCCTATAGGCAATTCTGTTGGGCATTTTCTTGATTAATAATTGATGTAGAAGGGCCCAGCTCACTGTGGGTGGTACCACACCTGGGCAGGTGGTCCTGCGTTGTGTAAGAAAGCAGACTGAGCAATGTGGAGACCCCCACACCTGTCAGGAGACTCCAGAGTAAGTCCTGAGACCAGCCCCCTGCAGCACCTGCCGGGGGGAGGCTGCGCTGTTCTTTCCGGGGAAAGAATTTACGTGAAAGCTGATATTCTGCAAATTATCCAGATGCTACAAATGGAAAAGTGAATTCTAAATGCTGGAATGCAAATTCACACTCTCCAGTGCTCTGCAGCAGAAGGATCTAGAACACATGAAGCAGGCAAAGGCCACTCCTCTAAATATTTACAAATGGCTTGTCAGTCCACAAACAGATGCCCAACCTCACTGGCTATCAGGGAAATGTGACTACGACACCACCAGGCACACACTGAGGCAGCTATGATGGGCTGAATGCACCAGCGTCAGGGGCAGGTGCTGCAGACCACTGAATGCATCAGCATCAGGGGCAGGTCTTGCAGACCACTGAATGCACCAGCGTCAGGGGCAGGTGCTGCAGACCACTGAATGCATCAGCGTCAGGGGCAGGTGCTGCAGACCACTGAATGCATCAGCATCAGGGGCAGGTCCGGCAGACCACGGGAAGGAAAATGTTCTGCTGTTCAGGGAGACATCTGCCCAGCTCCTCAGGGGCTTAGGGCAATTCTACTTGTGGACATACCCCAAGAATTAAGGATTTACATCCATCAATCTATGTCCAGCCACAGATACAATATGTACATTTACTTTTGTTAACTAAAAATAAATACATAGGGGCAGGGAAAGGGAAAATCAAAATAAATAAATATATGAATAACCAGGAACAAAGATCAAATCAGTGTCCACACAAATGCTCTGAGCAGCATGCTTCAGCAGCGTTAAAATGAACCAACTGCCAAATGCCCATAGACAGACTGTGGGATAAACTAATGGGGATCTAAGCACACACACCCCAGAGCATTTCTCATTATGACGTGGATCGGAGCTCTGACGTGCCACAGTGTGGGTAAACCTTGACAACATTATGCTAACTGAAAGAGGCCAGTTACAAAGAACAGTGTGTCCCTGAGACAGCTTCCTCAGATACAGTCACTGGCCACATCCATCAGGACAGAGAAAACACGAGGTCCCTCAAGGGTCAGCAGAGGCACATTCTAGGGTGAGGCAGAGCAGGGTCTGGAAGGCTGGACATTACACTAGATTGCTCTGGTTGGCTCAGAATGTACAGAGCTACTTTCTTCTCCCATTCAAAGGCACAAAACTAGTGACCAACTGACTCGAACTCATTTCAGCCTGAAGCAAAACCGACTCCACAGTCTTCACTTCCCTGAGTTAGCTGAAACACCCCAGACCGCCCACCTCGAATGGCAACAGGGGCGCCGGCCTTCCTGTCTCTGAGATTTTTTTTTTTTAATTTAAAAAATTGTACAAATATTTTTAAAAACTGACAATTTGATCTTACAAATTATGTAAAGATGAAAGGGTCAATCAAGGCCCCAAATAACAGCTGTTCCATTTATATGCTCAACTTCAAAATTTTACTACAGACCTACAGTAATGAAGCAAGTATAAAAAACCCTAGTGACGGAGGTGTATCAGCTGAACAATTCAGTCCAGATGAAAACCCTCACAATGGGGAGAAGATGGTCTTTTCATCAACTGTTACTGAATGCCTACGTGCAGAATAAACGTGTGTGCATTCAGCTTATACATTATATCATATTTAAAATTAACATAAACATGACCTAAAGTAATAACTAAAGTTATAAACTTTTGAGGAAACACTGGGGTAAATTTTAAGGCATTTAAATTATGTCTCAATCTTTAGTGTGCTGTCTTATAGCTAATGTTAGCTCAGCAAGTAAGAAGGGAATTCCCCCACACACACTCTCACAAAATAAATAAGTAAATCACCCAATGGGAAGGCATGTTACAGGAATCCAGAATCCAGTTGAATGAACTAGTAATGGCTACAGTAGGAGCAAGTTAAACATTGAAGCATTATTGGATTACAGCCCAAAGTTTAAAATAAATGTTTATAAACCCATATTGGTACCAGTAGAGCACTGGGCAAAGTAAACGGGCATCAGGCAAATCTCGCTTGACTGAGAATCTGAAATAACTGACGTACGTGGTGACGGAGGAGAGGAAGCTTGTCTTTACTCCTTAACCGTTAGGCTGGGCTTGATAACCTGCTTCCAAGTCAGACTGTGAGAGGGGGAGGGACAAAGGACTCCACGGAAAGGAAATACTGCAGGTGACCGTACCACAAGTGGACACGGCGTCTGACTGACATCCTTACGGTGTAGCAAACTGACAGCATATACTTTTGATTTACAAAAAATGGTATTGCATATCTGTAGTCACCCTCTCAAAAATCTAACACCAATCTAACTATGAAAAAACAACACATCGTGTTGTACACACCTCAGAGCACAAGAAACCACACGTCAGCACTTGGACTGTGAGAGTCTTACCTGCTTGATGGCTGTGACAGTGATGACGAAGAAGAGTGGGAGCCCGCTCGTCACTGGACTTGTGGGTGTGTCGATGATCAACTGTGGGGACAAGACAGCCATGCAGTCACCTGGGAGACACTTGCTAGCGGCCGCGGACAGCGGGCTGGACTGGCAACGCAGCCTTTTCCCATGCGCTTCCACCTACTAAAGCACGTCGCTGGCTCCCTCCTTGCCCTGCAGCCTGGACAAGAGGGACACCACCCCGTCCCAGTGACTACAGTGCTGAGGGAGGCTCCTTGGTGACGGGGTGGCTTAAGGACAGCAGTCAGCATGTGGCGAGGGCACAAGTCTGACTCTAGAGACATCGATTCATTTAGTCCATGCCGCAGGTGTCACACTTGAGTTATTCTGACAGAGTTCACGCTGGGGAGATTTTCCTGTCATTTAGAGCTATACTTAGAATAATTTAGAAAAATGTAACACTGCTGCTCACAAAATGCAATCTACCAGCGGCTCCCCGCCCACACCCTTGCTCTGTTCCCGCCTCGCCTGTCTCCCTGGATGTACGTCTGCTTTGCGTTTCTAAGTTGCAAGAAGGAGTAACACCAGGCATGGCTGGAGACCCTGCCCTGTCTCTTCTTGGGGCTGGATTCAGAGAACCCAAGAATGAGTGGCAGATGAGGGGCGTCACATCCTTGCTGACTTTAGTGACTGTGTGTCCCTTACTTGAGACCCAAATGACATTTGCTGAGACAGAGAGCCAGGACCATCCTTACCTGCACCAGGAAGATGATGAGGAAATAAAAGTTGGCTATTCTTCTGAACTGTTCAAACAGGTTCTTGGGTATGAAGTTCCAGAACGTGTACTGTATACAACAAAAGCACAGGAAGGTCACTATGTGCGGCTCTACTACGAAAAGAGCAGTGCAGAGTATAAAATGTTTAGTTTTGGACACAAGCTCACCAGAGTTTAGGGGTCGACATTTTGTCCATGTTATACAAGGCCCCCAAGACAAGCGGCTAGGACAGCGCAACCCTCTGAAGGAACCGCACCCGAAGGGCCCGGTCCATCGAGTCAGGGCAGAAGCAAAGCAGTTATTGTGCATGTACAGAGTGTGCCATCAGTCTGGGCCCAGTGGAGACTCGGCATGACTCTTGGTCAGGGGGAACACCTCCTGTGTCTTCTCATCTCCCCTCTGTTGCCCAGTACAACTGAGAGACGCAGCAGAAGGGACAGAGTCTGCGCTGCCTGGAGGCTGCTTCCTGACGGCAGGCATGGTGTCCACACTGCAGGGTGCTGCATCTGTCTGCAGCCACGTGCAAGGACCCTCTGCTGTATTGACAGGGTGAGGAGAGAGGGCGGTCCCCACACTACACGTTCTCCAAACTGACCACTCAGCGTCTGCACTGAGAACAGTGGCTGCCCTGTACATGTCCTCTACGCTGTGCTGCTATCCAAGGTCACTTGTCTTTCCACATACATTTACAAGTATGAGGAGACCCTCGAAGTCACTGGTGGGGACTCTGCAGATCCTGTCAAGAGGGTTAACATCTTAACAACACCGTCTTCCTGCTGTCGATATGGGGTGACCAAACCACTTGCTGTATGATGGGGAAGAGCTTTAATATGTTTCTATTTTTATAAAATTTAAAAAACGGGGTAGGGCTGAGGACATGGTCCAGATGCAGAGCATTTGCCTAGCATGTGCAAGGCCTTGAATTTAATTCCCAGTATCATAATGAGTAAATACTTTATATTTGGAAATTCTGGTAGACTCTTTCAAACTTCCCACGCACAATGATAATGATACTCTCCTATCCGTCAATGAAGAAAGATTTATTTGGGAGTGAGGACAAGGATCAAAATCTGGAACAGACCACAGACCTCTGGTGTGTCTAGCGAACAAAGCCGGGCCTGGGATTCATGATTCAGGCCGTCACGGAAGGACACTCCTGAGCTGGAGCGGTCACAAGCACAGGTGGTCTTAAGGTCATAGCTGGAGGTTTTTCTGTAGATGGGAAATGAAACAGTCTTCATGACTGAGCCGCTGTGTGGTTGAACTGGCTCTGTGGGCTCTTCCTGGAGAAGGTGAACGGGACCTCTCAACTCCACTACAGTGGGACACAGGAGGTGACCCTGGTGTGTACAATGCGTTTCCACGAAGAGGGCCACGTGCATGTCCTAGACCTGTGTTACCTAGAATGTTGTTCTAGTACCCTGAAGCTTTACCATGTACCAGAGAACCATGTACCACTACGAAGACCTACCACGGCCGAGAACTCTCAGCCTTGTAACCCCGTGGTTCACAAAACGTTAATGAGTTATTACTGCTGACCGCATGTTACAGAAAGCCAACGAGATAATTCAAATGTCCGTGAAGATGTGACACCTCTGTAACAGATAAAACAAGGGGCTGGAGAGATGGCCTAGTCAATAAAACGCTTGCCACACACACGAGGACCAGAGTTCAGATCCCCAACACCCAACAAATGGCAGGGCCCAGAAGTGCCAGTCACAACCTCAGTGAGAAGGTGGAGACAGGGAGACCCTGGGGCTTGCTGGCCAGCCCGTCTAATCAATTAGCTAAGCTACAGGTTCAGGGAGAGATGGCCTAAAAAAAAGAGAGAGTCATTAAGTATGGTGGTGAATTTTATTTGTGCTGAAATATGATTTTATTTGTATGTTAATAAAGTTGCCTGGGGATCAAAGCTAAGAGCAAGCCATTAAGCAGAAGTCTGGTAGTGGTAGCATACGCCCTTAATCCCATCACATGGCAGGCAAAATCTCTGTGTGTTCAAGGACATAGCCAGCATGGTGACACATGCCTTTAATCTCAGTACCAACCCTAGAGACCGGGAGGTCTGTATAGACAGGCAGTGACGAGGAAGTCATGTGGTTGGGTTTAGAGCCAATGAGAAGGCAGAACAGAAAGGCAATGAAAAGACAGACATAGGAAGAAGGTCTCTCTCTCAGGGGAAGGACAGCAGCGAGTGGTAAGATAAGGTGGTCTTAGCTCTTGGCTACTGCTCTGATCTCTGGGCTTTTAACTCTATATGGCTCTGTGTTTCTTATTTAACAAGACCATTTAGAATTATATCTAATTAAGGCATTAAGGAGGACACCCAATTTTGACCTATGGCTTTCACATGCATATCCATGTATGTGCCCTCTCCTACATGTTCTCACACACGCACAACTGGAGCTCTTTATTATAAGAGCTGGTACTGGCCACGTGAGAGTGACAGGTCAGCCACACATCTTCTATCTTGCCAATCTGTAAAGGTCCCCATATTTGTGGGACTCATGGCCAGTACACAATGTCTCACTGTCATCCACACTCAGGATCTGTAAAGGTCCCTGTATTTGTGGGACTCGTGGCCAGCACACAATGTCTCACTGTCATCCACACTCAGGTATCGAGTTCCACTTCTATTATCACAGCAGCAGTGGAAAGTATCCCAGCTTGCAACAGTCTGTTATCAATGACTAAGAGGAGGAATAAGATGGCTGCTCCACCTGTAAGGGGCTGGGAAAATGAGGTCACAGCGTCTCTTTCTCCCATGGAGATGTCTTGAGGCGTGTTGACCCCCAGGAGACAGTTAATAAGCCCTGCTTCTTCACACTCATGGAGACTTTGGGCCAGAGTCTGCTGGGCTGTCTGTCCTCATCCTGAGCAGAGGGAGCCCACTGGCCTCTCCATGTTCACTTTGGCCTCTGTGTTCTCACACTGAGGTGAGGGTGCCCACTGGCTTCTCTGTTCTCACACTGAGGTGAGGGTGCCCACTGGCTTCTCTGTGTTCTCACACTGAGGTGAGGGTGCACTCTGGCCTCTGTGTTCTCACACTG